TTGGGGGGGGGGGGGGGAATGTATCTTTATTCATTAACAATAATTGGAGCATGCAACATTAATATTCTCACGTATTATATAACCATCATTCACATATATTATAAACCATTTGCTTTATATGGTTTTTTATTTCACCACTTTTCACTGTTCATTTTTTAAAATTTTATATTATATATGTGTGTATATATATATATATATAATAATAATAATAATTTTGAGATATTTTTTTGACAAGTATGCAAAAATGCGAATTCATAAACAAGTGGATATATATATATATATACTTTTTATTTTGGTGGAATAGATGCATCCATTTGTATTTTCATTGTGTAAATGGTGTGAGCATATCCACCCACAAATGCATACGCATATATATGTTAAATGAATGTATACAGTATTATATATACACACACACACACAGTCTTGGATGTCAAACTGAGCATGACGAAATGAACACACGGTCATTATTGGTCCACGTTCTATAAATGGCAATTTCTAAGATATTAATTGTCTAACAACTGTGATTAATTACACATGAACAACCAAAGAAATCTCTAGGTAATGATTTTTCCAAAAATGAACGATAGCACACCGTCATTAAAATAATATCGATCGCTATTTTCCTATTATGGATATATCCGATACATAACATATCATATTTTAATAGTATATATACAAGTCCATTTTGAAGGTAAAAATAAATATTTCAGCATTGCATGTATTTGAGATATTCTGCGAGCATACGTACAGTATGTTAAAGAACAATAATCTCAGCTTACAATTCAATTACTTTCTATTCTAGGTATATATATATATGTGTGTGTGTGTGTGTGTGACATATATTGACCTTAATATATAAACATGTAGAAACACACATACAAACCCATATATGTATGTACATATATATATGAGCATATACACAAAGTAATATGCATATGATTTAGGGTGATGATACAGCAGAACGCATGATAAGATTGAGATCCCAAGATATATACCTGAATTGGCAAAAGCACAACTTGGACTCTTCCAAACAAGGCAGTGAGCTGTTAGATAAAAGACCAAACAAAGGGTTAAGGAAGATCTCAAAAGAAGGAGCCAAGCAGTAAATGAGAAGTAGAATTTCGCTTTGTGATAAAAGTCAACAATGTCAAACACATATCATCATGCCTCTTTCTTTCTTTTTTAAATGTAAATTCCTTTAGTCCTTCCACATCCCCCTTTTCTCTGCCCATAACCTGCAATTCTCTTTAACCGAGCAAAACAACAGTAACCAAACAAAATACATGGGCTTAGGACCATAAGTGAAAACAAGAGGAGAGAGAGTTTTGGAACTGCCCATGAGCTTGGAATGTACCATGAAACTTTGTCAGTGTAGGGAGATTGGTGCAGAGTACAACTTATGAAACGTATAAGCCTTTTCCACTCATCAATCTAAATGTATCATAACAAAGACGAGAACTGAACGGTGAACATTGGTTTGCTTGGTGGATTAGTGAATCACTTCACAATTCATGAACCGGATATATATATATACACATATATAGGGAGTTATTTCATGGTATAATAGCGGATAATTTATGGAGGGCGACAAGAAAATGTATGGAAAAGTTGAGATTAATCGTAAAATGTTGAAAGCATGTAGATATATGAACATATAATTTCATGTATTTTAAACATTTATATACATAATTGCAATGTTCAGGTCTCAACATAGTAATAAACTAAAAACACTGAATATGAAGAACAACTTGAAACAAAACTCCATTAATGAACGAACGAAACCTTCCCTCTCACTGGGAATCTAATTCCCTTTGCAATTAAAAATCCGATGATTTTAACCCAAAAGAAGATCGGATTAAAAAGGAAGAGGGAGAAGAAAAAAGGATGGTGAAAATAAACTCTACAGCTAATTGGCTTGTCTTGAATTGAAGAACTCTCATATATACCTTCGCGTCCAAGTAGAGTTCTAATCATGAATCCAAATCAAGAGAAAAGGAAGACAGAGACTTCCCTTTCTTTGCATATTGATCATCATCAATTGACAAACTTAGCCTCATAGCCGAAGAAGAAGAAGACGATGCGCCCATTTCGCCACGTGGCCCGCCGCCTTCCCGAACCCAAGATTCATCCACTATATCTCTCCCGGAAGATGAAGAGGGAGAATAGTGATCGTCCGTACCACACTCCATGTTCACTCCAAACAGCCTCAACCTCTTCCCGGCGGCAGCCACTTCAGATGGCGGCGGCACCGCCATAACTGCTGGAGATATCGTCCCGGGAACAACCGGGACCGAGTCGATCACCAACGGCTCTGATCCACCGAAGTTCCGCTGGTCCAACGGCCAGCACCGACCGACAAAACTACCATAACCATACCCTACGATCTCTCGTTCTTGACGGTAGTACTGATGTTGCTGATGCTGCTGCTGATACATATTGCCACGAACTCCGAAATTCAAGCTCCGGGGAACGGAATGCTCCGGTAGTCGGTTGCCGTTGACCGACGTTGGGAAATTGAAATTAAAATTAAAATTACCGAACTGGTTATGATGATGATGATGATGGAGGAACGACGAAGAGGGTATTGTCGGATTGTTTAAGAGGTTGATGTCGGGACGGTGCCTCCAATCGATGAAAAGCCTCGATTTCTCGGATTCGGTGCCGACACCACGTTGAAACGACACGATGTCTCCGGCGTCGAGTTTTTTCTCTTTGACGAAGCGACTCCATCCTTTGGTCATGACGTAGCTCTGGCTGCTGTTCCAGTACGAGTAACGGAACCTCCACATCTTGCCGTTCCTGTCCTGGAAGCTCAACAGCGTGCCGTTTTGGCTCGATGAGGGGTCCAGCGGGAAGTGCTTCTCCGCATGCTGCTTCGGTATCACCAGACGGTTCAGTTTCCCCACGTCGCTCGGCGTCACGACCTTGTCGAACATGTGTTCCTTCTCCACCGGAACTGGTAGGTTCATGTTTTTGTCGGCGATTTCTTGATCTCTGTCTTGTTCTTGGTCGGAACCTGTGGTCGCTAGTGATAGATCCATGAGAATTACCCCAGTTTTCGACGAGATCTTGCTCTTCTTGCTCGGTGAATGAGGCTGGTCAATGGTTCTTGATGAAGACTGAGCCCATTTCTTGTTCTTGGATTGTTGGTACTGGGTTCTTGTTGTTGTTCTTCATCGTGATTAGTTGTACATAACTCGAGATCTTCACCACACATGAGATATTATTAGAAACGAAACGAAACGAAACGAAACGAAAATTCAACCACAATAAAGAAGGATTTAAATTAAAGGGTTTAATTTGAAAGGGAAAAAAAATAAAGTTGGTGGTCTCACCTTATAAGAGAGGGATGTGTATACACGGCATGCTCGAGGACATATTCTTGAGGTCGAATTTCAAATCTTTTTCCCGAAGTCCGTCGGATTTCAGATGGTCGGTGCCTTCTTTCTTTGACCAGAAACAGGAAAGATATAAACCCTAGAATTAGAACAAACTATACATACACAGATTCAAGAAGAACGCTGTTTGTTGATTTGGTTCTTCTCTCGACGTTGACTCTAAGGAACCCATCAAAATGAAAAAGATGAGCCAAAAATGAATCTTGGAGTTATAATTGGCTTCTCTCACCTCTAGCTCTCTCTCTCTCTCTCTCTAGAGAGTGAAGAAAATGGTGGCTTTGAGATTCTTTGTAGAGATCAAAGAGTTAAGAGGGAGGGAGGGAGAGAGAGGTGAATAGTGAGTAATACATAGGGGCCCATGAAGGATATGGTTCGGCTCATGTGAGCAATTTGTCCTTTTCATTAGTCTATTGGGTTGGCTCCTCTTTGTATTTATATTAGCAATATATATACATGTTGGGTGGATAGATACATAGATACATGATGTATATCAGTATCTGTAGTATATCAATTTAAATCTGTGTACTGTGTACTCTACTTTTGTTTTAGAGTATCCATGTGCATTTACGTCTTCTTAAGTCAGATTCTTGTATTTTAGCTGTTAACCCTTTCCCTTTTCACCCATTTAAACTAATTAAAAGGGTTTATTATCTGTAACCTCTCGAAAGGAAAGTGAATGCATTTTTTTAACCTTTTTTTAAAATTAAATTAGAGTATTTGCCTGTTTTTTCATTAATAATATATATATGATCTCACAATTGAATCAAATATAGTCCTCACCTACTATTACAGTTGTTGGAGTGTCTTGATTCCTTGAAACACGTGTCTAGGCATACGTATACACAATGTGCATGTGTGTGTGTATATATATATATATATATCAATTGGAGAGGATCACTTCATCTCAGCATATTAATTAAAAGTTCAAACCACAGACCACAAAATAAAATACTTTTGTTTTGGTAATTGGGCTTAGTATCTAGAACTAACATACAGTTCATTTATGAGACGCAGATTTCAAATTAATACATAAGATATATTTCATTTGAATACTGTATCTGCCAGCTGAATATTAATTAACATGAAATTTAATGATTGATAGAATAATATTTGGTCAATATGGAAACACGTGTATAGAAATGAGATTTCACATAATATTTCCTTTTATTACAAGTGGGTTTCGTTATGTACATAACTACTAACTATCTGTTCTTTTTTCGGCTTAAAATGAAAATGTTATATTTTTACTAAATCATTATATTGCATATAACTAATCATGTCCTAGTCGTTATTTTTTTCCCTAATCGCAAGGGGAAAGTAGGTCTGGTTGCTGATACGTTCCATGTTTGTGGTCCAAAAATCTTATACATATCAATCGGAACACTACGAAACAATATAAAATAGCAACATATATGCACACGTGTCGACACACACACGCATATACGTATATTATATATGTATATGCTTGTGTTTACACAGAGATACGTATATTGAGAGTATATGTATATTATATATGTATTTCCGTCACATCTTAATGTGTAATTATCAATAATATGGTAATAATATAAGTTGAAGAAAGGGTAGCCCCCCCACCCCCTCCCCTGCACGCAGCTCCCCGTCTTTAATTCAAAGGCGAAAAGCTACGAAAGCAATTTACTGTTTGCTATTTACAAAACCCATTTGCCTGTTAGGGGACCTCTCTACCTACAATCGATCTCCTTCTATTCATTCACATATATACATGCATGCTTCATCATGAACATATGTCAATATCTATTTTTTTTTTCAAATAAAAAGGGATATCGATCGACTAGATGTTTGACATGATAAAAAAAATCAAGAAAAACAGATATCTGACCGTAACGAAGAAAGAAGGCTTCGACGAAATCGATCGGGGTCCAGTGGGTATTCAATCAAAACAATTGCTACATAAGGTAATATGTATAGAAATCCAAGGCACGACACATAAATGCCGAAGAACGTAATAATCCATGCATATTGCATAACAAGTTCGATCACTAACTGTAACTAATCGATATATAATTAGGAAACCCACATGGATCTCAATGGTTGATAACGACGTGTATGTTTAAGAGATGTATTATTAGATTGATTAAGGATGCAATTAATGTATGATACATGTATACATATATAACAAAATAAATGAGAATTAGGAAGGGGCCGGAGGAGAGAAGGGAATAGCTAGGGTTAGGACCACTCTCTCTCTCTCTCTCTCTCTCTCTCTCTCTCTCTCACTCTCTCTCTCTCTGTATCCCCACAGCCACCTTCTTCTTATTTACTTAATTCACCAAGTTGGCTTTGGGGGTTGGAGTTTTATCTTCTCTTCTTTTCTTTTCCCTTCTTTATTTGTATCTTTGTCGTATTGTCATCTACAAATATTAAGAATTTGGTCCCCTTCCGCGAGAGAAATAAAGAAATACTGTAAATTTTCTTTGAAGATTTGTGATGAAAAACACCGTTATGAAATTAGTGTAATTTAAGAAATGCAAAGACATATGCTCGATATCATACATATATACACACACACACTAAAACAAATGAAATCTCTCCAACTTTATCTGGCTAGCTGAACAAATATCTCAGTGTGATATGTATGAGGGCAATTTTGGACCTGTGTAGTGTATGTATGTATACATACATAGAGAGAGGAAGGATGAGTATATATTTTGTATGGGCAAATAGCATCCATTTGCATGGGGCAGGTTGTGATGTGATGATGGCAACAACTGTCATGTGCCCCAAAGTCTATATATATGTTCTAATCAAAATCAAAGGGGTACCCCCTATATATTCTACTAAATTACGATTATTTCTATCTCCTCTAAATTATAGATTTCGAAATCGCAATGTGGTAAAAAGCTTGGACCGGTGCCTTTTCATGGCTTGGTCTGATAAACACACACACATATATATATATATATATACATATACAGTAGCGGACCCACTTTATATGGTGTGGGGCACAGGCCCGTAATCAATTAAAAAAAATATCAATTTTACTTGCAAATTTGTAAGATTATAGAAAAAAAATGTTAAATGCCCCCATTAAAATAAAAATTATTTAGGTAAAATCATATATATATAAAATTCTTGCTTCCTTTTATCCCTTTCTCTAGGTCCGCCACTGTATATATATATATATATATATATATATATATATAGTTCTAACCAAACGCTAACTTGCGCTCTTGGTGATCTCGTTGAATCATAAGGCTCCTACCTATGTTTATAATAGTATATATATGTGTGTGTATATATATATATATCATTCGGTTGAAAAATATGGGCTGCATGTCCTCCCTAACCCCCTCTCTACACATAGCTTATCAGAAGCAGCTTCCTCTATACATTTGCCCTAGCTCTCCATTCATATATGATATTTGAGAGCTAGCCATATGTTTGTTCTGATCTCGTACTGAGATATCATGTTATATATATACACATATATAGTTATGAAATTTAGCTATAACTATTTATATAATGTATGTTTTAATCATCACATTGAAATATCATGTTATATATATATATATATACACACGTATATATAAAAGACATGCTGTGGAACAAATATTCCTTATATTCTTATATATGCGGCACCAAAATCAGCTGATGCGGTCCACATATATGAAAACACGTTTAAAAGAAAAAAGAAAACGAAACAAGACAAAATGGATGGTTCGCGTGAAAACATATTGTACGCTACCACACACATATATCCATCGCAATCCAAAAATGTAAACCCTAATCCCCGTGTGAGTATATATATATGTGTGTATATATACATTCATAGTTGCTTGATAACTACACAAATGTAATTAGAAAATGACATAACAATTTTTTTTAAAAAAGCTGCAGTTAAGAGAGAAAAAAAAAACAAGTCTATTTTTTTAATAAAAAAAGAAATCTAAGTACATGAATATAGATTCCAAATTAGTCAACGTTTTTGACCGGAAACCTAGCGAATTATTAATCATTTGATTTTCTATATAAGGGAATATTGTAATACGGTGTTAATAAATAAGCAGATTTACGAAAGAAACACAAAACAAAACAATGATAATAAGCTCGAGGGCTTGGCGTATACCATAAAACCATACATAAAAAAAAATATGAATAAAAAATAGAAAGAGAACACGGAAGGGGCCCAACGAAGAAAACCGTTGGAGGCTTCGCAGGCTTCCTCTTTTATCCTTTTGTGGAGTCGCTGTCTCTCCTCCATATACGCTCATTTTTCATTATTATTATTATTATTATTATTATTATTATTATTATTATTATTATTATTATTATTATTATTATTATTATTATTATTATTATTATTATTATTATTATTATTATTATTATTATTCGCACCCTAATTTTCATGCTATCTTCGATCCCCCGACTTTTTTCTTCAGCAAAAAACAAAATAATCTCTTGAAATTGTCGTCCTAATATTTTGGACAATATTAAATCAGGATTGCTTTCTTATGTTAATTCAATGAATATTTATTTTATATACTTTCGTCACAACAATTAATTATACATAAATGATAATTTCTGTATTATTTATTGTGACTAAAGCATATATATATATATATATATACACACACGTGTGTGTCTGTGTGAAAGTGATGCGCGAGATATCATGTGTGTGTAAGATTTTCGTCATTAAATTCGGTATTCACTTGGGTACACACTAGAGGAGAAATTTAAAAAACGGATCTTTTTTATATATATTATAATAACTACAAATGTGAAAGATGCTTGACATACACGCGCCGTATATCTTGTGAAAGGGACCGGTTTTCTCTGTGATTGTAACTGGACCGGGCCCGGTTTGGGTAGGCAGCCTAACCGACCACCCTGCTTCTATAATCTATATATCCTTATCTCTTTTTTTTCTTCTTCTTCTTCCCAAAACGTGAATCCCATGACCAAATTTAGAGTTCGGATTCGTTGAAACTCTCGCGAGTTATTCCAATCCGTCATTTTCGTATAATTAATCTATTTGGTGGAAAATTAAATTTACTTGAACACACGCGATGGTGATACAAATACGAGGAATTGGTAAATATATTAATTTAATATTGGAGCTAAAGCCCATTTATTAACACATGAAAAACAAACCTGGGCCACTGAGAAAAGACTATTGGGCTTTGGCCCATTCACAGTTTCAACTTTCTTCGTCTTGTCCCATTCATTAATCGCGCTTTGCCCCTTCTCCGTCTTCCTCTTTGGGCTTTTCATGGGCTCACTGCCATATTCCTTCTTTTATTGGACATTTATGGTCCAAAATTTAAATTATCCGACACTTTATTATGTCGAGCCCATCCACAGAGATCAAGAAGATCCTACATAGAGATGTCATCAATGTCCATCCGTTTTTTAAAAAAAAAAAGAAAAAAGAAAAAAGAAAAAAGAAATGCTTATTCAAACATATTAGTTTGGATAAGGAAAAAAAAAGGCGCCATGAATGGTGAGAGGAAGCTTCTTCTTCATCGCCGGAGGGTGTGCAGAATGTACTCCGCGTATAGGTCCCTGTCAACGCATATGTCCTTCACGTATTCAATCATAGAAACCCGAAACAAGAACCCATCAAGGAACCCCCAAAAAAAGAGAAAACTTTACATAGAGTGTTGGATGGCTTCAACTGCAGTCTCTGATGGGAGAAACTCGTCCACTGCTACTTCCTTGTTCTCGTTCTTCTTGTCTGTCAGAATACCCGTCAAGGAAGGAACACAAAGATCTCGTCTTTTTTGTTTTTAATGAACAGACACAAAGAATGGAAATAGGATACAGTCTTCAAAGAAACGCCGGATTTCGGTGAGGCGATGAGGGGGAAGTTGCTTGATGTCAGTGTAATGCTTGTACTCTGGATCGTCAGCACAAACCGCAATGATCTTGTCATCTTTCTCACCCTGCATCATAGAAAGCACCACTATCACACTATCATCCAATCTTGACATGGGCAGTCATTTATGGAGAAGAGGCTTTTATAGAGGCAAGTCACCTGGTCAATCATGGGCATCAGTCCGATAGCTCGGGCTCGAAGAAAACAACCTGGAAGCACAGGTTCCTGTCCACAAAACGGATTCAACGACATGGCATACATGTTTTTTGTATAGTGCCTATGTGAGAGTAGAGCTTTCTTTATTAACAAAGACAAGTAGTGAAGGCTTGTACCTGCATGATAACTAAAACATCCAATGGATCGTTGTCTTCACACAATGTACGGGGAATGAAACCGTAGTTATGTGGGTAGACAACCGATGAGTACAAGATGCGATCAACCTGAGAGACATCAAAACAGTGAGATTGATTTGTGACATAAGAGAACCAATCTATTGTATTACATCTTCGACTCTACCTTGATGAGTCCTGTCTTCTTGTCAAGTTCATACTTGACCTTGCTGCCTTTCGTGATCTCAACAACCTGTTTCGATCAGACAAAACAACCCGAGAATCCTAAAAACAGGGTCTTTTCTCTGTCATTAGCCTGCCAGTGCGCGCGCACACGGCAAAGAAGAACAGACTGAATTGAATTCACAGATGATGTATCATATAGGCCCACAAATGGAATTGAAACATGATAAAACATAACTTCCAAATGTAAAAGATTTGTCTTTGATTTCCAAGATTTAGCCGTAATACTTGTTTGAATGGTTAGCATAGCACTTACCACATTGAAGATTTGAGGAGCTCCAGGTCCTGCAGGCATCAATTTATCAAAGTTGATTCAGTTCAAAGAAACAGAAGAACTAACACGAGATTTGCAACAAGAAACCTATTGGATTAGTTTTACAATTACCGATCTCAAGATCGTGCCACGGATGGGCGGCACCAGATCGCCTGGACAAGGATGAGAGGATCCTCTCATTCAGGCGGGGAGCTGATCGCTGAGTCTTTGCGACTTGACTCTCGTTCACTTCTTCACTCATCTGATAAAAAAATGAGTCAGAAAATAAAGTAGCATTACGAATTTACGATTACCACACATGCAATCCGAATACATGCACACATGAAACGAACGACACCGATATGATTAATCATTGAATCAAGAGATGAATCGTATACAGTAATACCCATCATCTAGAATCACCATTGTTATTCTTTTCAGCTATATATATATATGCACGGTCAGATCCATCAGCTGACATCAACAGTGTGCCTCGTAAATGAAATTCGACTTTTCCAACAAAATCTTAACACTCCCAGCAGATTGGACCCATCAATTACAGGCATCTATCATAAGTTGTTGGACAGTTTTAATCTCATCACTAACGAATTCCGGCCAAAGTGATGTCGAGAAAAGTTGAAACGCCGATTATTTCAGACAATGAACAAGAGAGAACGATCATATTTATCTATGTCGGAGAAAGATGTCGCCATCAGTTCATTTCTCTGAACCTCAAATTCCAGAGCACTGACAAATAGGGTTGACAAACCCGACGGGAGATTTCTCAGCCCACTTTTTATTGTTCATCGGGGGCGAATTTCAAGGGAAACCCAGAACGATAAGCATAGAAAAGCATCAAACTTTGACGTCTAAGAACAAAAGAAAACGAGAAAAAAAATATACCTTGGGATCGAGGGGAAAGCTTCTTACAAGACAGATGAAGAGATTTTTGGGAGCCAAAATGAAGAATTGGGTAAACCAAAAGAGAATTAGGTCGACACGTCCCCTGCAATTGCAAAGGCAGAGTTGTCTTTATGGGCCCAAAAATCAGGAAATTGAGAGATGGACATCGAAAATTACGGTCCGGTCCCTGTCTTTAAACTAATGTTAATTGAGTTTTTTATTATTTTTATTATATGTTTCGTAAATGAGTAATTTCAATTTGAGTACAATCTTGGTGGGAATATCTCCCAGAGATTATTCTCCGATTTCGAAGAAGTATAAAAATTACAAAAATAATTTGGTTGGTCCATGCACGTACGTAGGGGGAAAAAAAAGGATCAAGTAATGGGAAAAATGAACGCTTTAATGGATGGAGGATATCTCTACTGAAAAAATGCTTTGCACGTTCACCCAACTGCTGCCGAGAGTTTGCTTTCCTTCTTTTGAGACGTAAAAATCAACGGGTCTAGGTCAAGCCACATATGAGTTTCGGCCGTTACATCGTTTTCGATAATATTGATTACTCCTTCCTTCCGTTTCAAAACATTAGTTGTTTTAGATTGTTTCATTTTTAAAAAAAAAATAGATCAAAAGTCACATATACCCTTATTTGATAATAAAAACAATGCAATTATTGATAATGTATTGGAATTTGATATGGATAAAATTGGAAACTATTATAAAAAAAATGTTTTGAAAATATAAAACTATAAATATTTTGAAATATATAAAATAATTTAAAATTACAAATATTTTGAAACGGGATGGAGTAAAAACTATAGAAAATGTAACATTAAATTTTGTAAAAATAAAGCTCGAATGGAAATCAAAGCATCAAAACTGGGCTGCTTAAAAACTAAAACACAGAGACCCATATACGCATCAGATGGGTTTCGGCAGTTGGGTATTTTTTATAAATTGGGCCTTCAAATGGGCCTTTCCTCAAGGCTCCAATTTTACTTGTAAAATCTGGGCCGATATTTTCAACCCAAGTTAAAGCATGTCAAGGGCCTCTTGGGCCCAAATTATAATGGAAACGGGATAAACTAATATTATAATCTGATTTATATTCTTTTTTTTTTAATATAGACCAGTCTTGCGCCACGTCACGTTCTCTCTCTGCATGGCTTCCCATGTTGTTGCCACGTCCTTACAACCCGAGTTCTGCGATTCAATTTTTCCGAATAAAAAAATAGGAGAAAACTAATATAAGAGATGATTTTTTTTTTTTAATTGTGCTGTGTTGCTTCTTAAAATAACCTCCACCTTCTGTTTTATATATATATAGTGCATAATTAAATCATGCGAACGTTGTAAAAAGCCATGCATTGGAAAAAGAAAGCAGGAGGAGTATAAATCTCTAAGTGTGGTGGTTTTTTGTCTTTCATTTTAGAGTTTTGGTAATAATTATTTACTTTGGTTAGAGATAAAGTAAAAAAATATATATAATAACAATATTCCATGGTTTGACTTCTGCAGCGAACAAAGTTGGGTCCCCCACGATAGTGCCAAAGCTGCGAAGGTCCAAAAGATCAGAGTTCGAGAAGAAAGATGTCTGACGTCTGATCAAAGTGGTTTCCTAACCGGACAAAAACATAACTCTTCTACATACGGTTTGGCAAGTTCCGTATATATTCGGTATGTTTTACGTATACAATAGTCGAATTTTTATTCATTGATTAGATATTAACAACTAGCAACCATGATAATCTAGAATGATTTTAATGCTATAATGTTAAATCAATTGATACATGCTTCTCGTTCATCATATATGCTTTGTTCCGAAAACAAATAATGAATTGGAGAAAAATGAAAACTGATTTATAAGAAAAGTCTCGACTAGGGGTTACAAAAAAATAATAATGCACAAAAAAAAGAGTAGACTATCTATTGGGGGGGGGGGGGCACG